ACATAGGCTCCTCAAACTGTACATACCCTGGTCTGGCTGCAGAGAATGGGAAGTACTGTGCGACATCAGACTGAACTGGACCCCAAATGGGTTGCAAGTACCGGAAGTTATCCGAGGAGCCAAGTAGCTGCCAGACTAAGCTCTGGACAGAAACGGCAGGTTACTCATGGAAAATGGACTTCCCCTTTTCTAGACTTACTTTTCTTCTTTGCAGAATGTAAAGAATTGCATTGCCCTGCTTTCTTCTTGAGAGAAGCTTTGAGCTCCCCAAATAAATTGCTGTACCCTCAAATATGCTGTTATGACGATTAATAATAAAGTAAGACAAAGAAAGAAAAAAGATGGGGAAAGCTTAGCCCACAGAGTGTGACAAAGAATGATTATACATCCTAGAAAATAGATTATATGAATTAAATTATACTTTTAAAAATATAAAATATAACCTCTCCTGAGGGTACAGACATGCAGCTTACAATTGTGCTTTTTGAGCAAATTTAGGATTCTCCTAGGGGTTAGAAGATCTCGATCTGGATCTGGTTTGTGCATTGCTGCTGACTTGCCGAGAGACGGTGGTCCAGTCGACAGCTCTCTGGGTTTCTTGGTTCCATGTCTGTAAACAAGATGCTTGGATGGGATTCTCTACAACCTGTTAGCTTTGTAACTTGGCCCTGAAGAGCACAAACGCTCGATGCTGTGCGAGATATGGACCACTAGGGGGCGCTGCCTCCTAGGAGAAAGTGGGAGTTGTCCCAAGCTCCTCTCCTATTGTGTCTACACTCATTAAAAGTGGTTGTAATAGAACACTACAGATTTCCGAATCTGAGAAAGCCAGATAGTAGGGCCTGATAACTATCTGGCCAACATAGGACCACTGGAATATGTGAAATATTCGATCAACGTGACTCTAAACCACAGTTCCCTCCCCCAGCGCCAGAGCCAGAGCCAGAGCCAGATCAACACCCTGGCCTCTCCACACACATTTCCAAATCACTTTCCCAAACAGCTGAACCAGTGTTTGTGTGTTTGGTTCCCTTTTAACTTAACAAGTAGGCAAATTCGAGCCTCTTCTTCAGTTCTATAGATTTAAACTACTACTCTCTCCAGTCTTATTAGTTTGGGTAATCATTAATACCAACTACAATTATTTGTATTTTAATCACGTGTTATAGGCTTTTCAGTGTTTTCGGTTCAGTCTGATTGATTTCAACAAACGTTGATTGGGGGTGACATGTGTAAGGCATGCTGCTGGCTACAGAGGTTAATGTGACAGGTGCTCATGGCTTCTATGCCCAAGGAGCTTATAACAGTCCTATAAGAGAGATAAACTGAGTACATAAACAACTGTAACACAAGTAGAAGGTGACACATAAGACAGGAGTGGTTCAAGTTAAGTGCCGTGGAGCCCGGGGGAAGGTGGAATCTCCTACTCCAGTGTCCATACAGCCCCGTTCCCTCCTTGGAGCCTCTGCTCATGCCACCTGTCCATGAAACAGGGACTTCCCGTCTGCCCTGGATGAAATAGCACCCCCTGCCTCCCTCACCTTTTATCCTCCTTACTCAGCTTTAGTTTTCACTGGCCACTGCCTGACTCCCATATTTCATAATTTCTATTTGTCAGCTTGTGTCTTACCAGCCTTCCCACACAGGCGTGTGAGCTCCGTGAAAGCAAAGACTAGCAACATTAGCTAGGCCTCCACGGAGACCAGGCTGTGCCTCCTGGGTCATGCCCAGACTGTCAGAAGGTGATTTGGCAATAGAACTCAAGAGCCAAGGAAGAGAAAGAGGGAGGGAGGGAGAGGGAGGGAG